TCAGGGTTTGCTTAGGATTCTTCATGCTATGACCCTTGTTAAGGGTTTGCCTTTATCGACAGTTGGACCACCCTAAACCTCAAATCCTGGATTTCGTATTTACAGGGAGCCCAAGACCATAACTTCACTTCTCTTCCCACCCACTTCTCCTCCCGCCCAAATGCTTGCAAGGTATTGTTGCCGGTCGGTATCAGGCTGCTCGGTGGCAGCTGTTGCGCAAGTAGTTTCGATATGAGAATACTGCTCCCAGGGTTCCTTAACATATTCATACCATAATCTCCCACCATACCCCCATTCCGGATACTACACCCCTTGTAGGAGCGCCCCTGGCCGCTGGGCACCCTTTTTACATGGGAGTTTCAGAACATGATATGGACTCATGGAACCACGTCGTAAGATGCTTCATTCCCAACCCCTAGACCATTATGAACCCTAAAGAATGAAACCCTAAACCCTAAACCATAAAAAGAATGAAAACCCGAAAACGTCCCTTTAAACAAATTAAACCCCTTACAATTATAAGGCCCTTAGACTATTATAAACCCTAAAAAGAATGAAGCCCTTACATCGCCAACAAGCCGGCAGAATTGATGTAGCCTCGTTGCGTGCGCCTGCAAGCGCTCCGAAGAGTTCGGAAATATAGGGGCCGAAATACTTACCTGTACTATTCTGTTAGGGTTTAGGGTTTAGGGTTTAGGGTTTAGGGTTTAGGGTGTATCATTGTAGTATAATGGGCCCCCCAATCCCTGTTCGGATTCTTAAGGCCCCTACACTAGTGCCTGCTCGCGCTGTACTTGCGGGGTAAGGCACCTGGGTCGGGTCTCAGGGTTTAGGATAGAGGGTTTAGGATCTAATTAGGAGGTAGGTGGTTAAAGTCTTAAAGTTTTGGATTTGTGCTTCTTGCACCTACGCTTGCGATCGAGGTGCTAGAGTATCTTGGCTCTGCTGCCTTCTCCCGTGCGGTCCAATGCCTCGACCTCGAGAACAACAGGAGCGGCACTGCCATTAGTAGGTTTTTCGAACCTAAACCCTAAACCTAGACCCCAAACCCTAAACCCTAAACTCCCAAACCCTAAACCCTAAACCCTAAACCGTGCTTAAAGGTTTGGGTTTAGGCTTAGGGTTTCAGGCGTAGGATGTCGGACACTCGTTGAAGCAGTCGAACCGTCCAAGCAGTGCTGCTTTACACCCTGGTCTCAAAGCCTTAACCCTAAACCCGAAACCCTAAATTTAAACCCTAAACCCTGAACCCTAAGCCCTAAGCCCTAAACCCTAAACCCTAAACCCTTAACCCTAAGCCCTAAACCCTAAACCCTAAACCCTAAACTGAAGCTGTTCTTTAGGGATTCACGGATGGTCCGCCGCTCCAACTTCAGAGGATGGTCTGCATGAAGATCATCAACAACAACAAGGACCTTAGGGTTTTTAGGGTTTTGGGTTTAGGGTTGAGGGTTTGGGGTTTAGGGTTTGGGATTTAGGGTTTAGGGTTTTGGGGGTCTGTTTAGGGTTTTTAGGAGTTTAGGGTTTTGGGGTTTTAGGGCTTTTAGGGGTTTAGGGTTTTGGGGGTTTAGGGTTTTGAGGTTTTGTTTAGGGTTGTTAGGGGTTTAGGGTTTTGGGGCTTTAGGGTTTAGGGGTTTAGGGACTCTAGACAGGTCTTCAGGGCAAGCAACACTTTCAGGGTAGGGTTCTGCGGGGTTGTTTGAGGGTTTAGGGTTTGCGGCGGAATGCTGCGTCTTCAGAACCATTCAAGGAACCCTTAAACGAACCCGTATAGGAATGCTTGTAGGAACCCATAAATGAGGCCTTAAAGGAACAACCCTAAACCCTAAACCCTAAACCCTAAACCCTAAACCGTGAACCCTTATATTAAAGGAGCCCTATTCCTTCCGAGGATTTCCTGGACCAGTCCCTGGACGAGATCAAGCTCCTGAGGCCGCATCCTCTGTAACGTAAGAACCTGGATCTTCAGGGGTGCCTAGGGTTTAGGGTTTAGGGTTTAGGGTTTAGGGTTTAGGGTTTAGGGGCCTACTCTGATTTCCTGAAAATCTGCATCTTTAGGGGTGCCTACTCTGATTTCCTTATGTTTTAAATTCTAGTGTAGGATTGAGGGTTTATGGGGGTCCTGCGTCTAGAAGAGAGGCCGGGTCGGGAGGCGTGTGCATCCTAAACTTGAAACCTTAAACCACCAAGCTCACAACCTAGGGTTTTGGGTCTAGGGTCGAGGGTTTAGGGCTTATAGGGTTTGCGGTTTGGGGTTTATTAAGGCGCCAAAACTTTGAAAGCCTTAAATCTGAAAGTCTCGACCCTCATCAATCTCCGGGATGTGCATTCCTTACAGAAGGATGTCTCAATGGATTTGGGGCTTTTGATGTTAAGGATCATGTTTTTCAGTGGTGTCCTGGTTGTCGGAGGTTGCATGTGTTCGCATCACTTTCTCCGCCGAACTTGCGGTGATCACGGCTGTGGCTCCTCCAAGCCGGCAGTTTCCGTGCTGTTTGGCCCTGTCATTCGATTCGGACATAAGTTGAGGAAACGGCTCCTCACAGGAACCTAACTAAGGTAAACAGTTTTCTCAAACCCCGTTATTATTATGGCAAGACAACTTAAACCCTAAACCCTAAACCCTAAACCCTAAACCCTAAACCCTAAACCCTAAACCCTAAACCCTAAACTGGAAACTGTCGAATGGAATTCTAGACTTGTTACTGGGACTCCTTGCCAGGTTGATTCGGGCCAACGTCGTCTGTGACTCAGAGAAGCGACGGGCTTTGGTGAGGCTTTGGGTTTAGGGTTCAAGCTGCCTTGAATGCTTCGTAGTCTGGCTCCAAGTTGCCAGACAGGAGCTTTCTTCCCCTGACATTATCTCGCGTTTAGGGTTTAGGGTTTAACGGACAATCGCAAGAAATCCTGAACCCCATGCCCCAACCCCTAAATACCAACCCTAAACCATCCGAAACCGATGCCCGCAAACGCCCCTTCAGCAGTTCAGGCCCCTGGAGTTTCAGGTTTCTGGCCGCCGAATCGGGGGAAGCTGCGCAGAGAAGCCAAAGACCGTTCGAACTCATGAAAAATACAAAGGTTCTGGGGTTTAGGGTTTAGGGTTCGAATTCATGAAATAAAGAGGCTTGCTGGATTTCAGGTTTTCCGGCCGCCAAATGAAAGGAGAACCATGCGAAAGCCAAGAAACGTCTCGGTTTCATTATGCAAAGGCCTTTGTCCAAGCTCTTGAATGAGCGAAACACAGCTAGTTTCAAAAAGGGTCGTTTTTTCAAGAACCTTTCTTTGGAAAGGCTATGTCGGGCTTTTGTTCGAGGCTCCGGGATGTCAGGGTTTCTGTCCGACAGATAGGTGGCCGGGCTCGATTTCTCAAGAACATTCTTCACTTGGACAGCTTTTTCGAAGCCCCTAAATTTGAGGGTTTAGGGTTTAGGGGTCTAGGGGTCTAGGGTTTAGGGTTTAGGGTGTGTCGTTGTGTGGCCACGAAACTGGGCAAATCATGAGCCCTGCTGTTGGAATTCATCCAGAGCCACACCACCTGTCAACCCGCAAGGAAGCCAGAACCCAAGACGACAGGAAGCAGAATCCCAAGATCCTTCAAAGGTTATAGAAAAAAAGCTACACAAGACTTTCAAGGCTTAGAGAAACAAGCGCCAAAAAGATGAGGTTGAGATGTAGATGGTCAGGGGCAGCCCCGCTGAACGAAAGCTCGCTTTAGTGATTGGGTCGAGGCGCCCTGGCTGTCGGGAAGCGGTTTAGGGTTTAGGGTTTAGGGTTTAGGGTTAACACTTTCCTAAACACTCCATGCAGCCTAAACCTAAATATCCCCCAACACCTGTGAAACCCAAAACCCCAAGCCCCAAGCAACCGCAAGCTGTAAACCCATAGCAATCTCTGGTGCAGCAAGGACAACATCGACGACAAGAACTGCTTAGCGCTGGTGGAACCTTTGTCGGCATGCAGGTTGCTGGTTGAGGCAGTTTAGGGCTCAGCTTAGCACTTTCCAGGTTTGAGGTTTTGGGTGTATCCTGCTCTTGTATGCCGCACAAGCAGACGAGATCTGCCATTCGGCATTCGGAATGCAGACGGTTGTCCCTATGCTTGCTTCAGGAGTGGTTACTTGCAGCGGGCCATAATGTTTTCGCCTCCTGTCCCACTGCCTGGTGATGTAATGTTGAGGAGGTGCGGGCTTTACTGTGCCGAAGCGCTCCACAATCGTGGGCGTCCTGCAGACTTGAGCCCCGACTAGGATCCAGCTACACCGCCGAAATGTCGCAAATCAGTGAACCCAAGCGATCTCCCGAGACACGGGGCAACTGGTGCAATCCGGCAGCGAAACATGAAGGGGTTCCGGAGTAGTTGGCACGCTGACTGTATGTATGCGTATGAAGTACATATTTGTACTATTAAGCATGCACGCATCTGCATGTACATCCATTATGTAATTTATGTGTATGTATACGTTCGTACCACATGTCTGTGCAGCACTTACATAGGTGTATGTATATTATAAATATACGTATGTACGTATCTATGCATGCATGCATGTACGTACGTACGTATGTATGTATGTATGTATGTATGTATGTATGCATGGATGTATGTATGTATGTATGTATGTACGTATGCATGTATGTATGTATGTATGTTATGTGCATACATGCATGCACACTCATACATACATGCATACATGCATACATGCATACACACACACATGAACGTATGCATGCATCTAGGCATACATGTATGCATGTATGCATGCACTTGGTTGATTGATTGTATCGCTGTGTTGGTATGTAGATAGCGGATGTGTCTTGCTGGAGGATCATTAGTCGACCCAAGCGAAAATGACAGCTCTTGAACCTAGCAGCCGCAACCCATAGCATAGTACGCCGGACTACAGTGCATGTCGGGACAAGATGGCAAGCAAGTCGACATCCCTAAATCAAGAGCTTGGCAAGGACTACTTCTACCACAAAGAGCACCTCATAATTGTCACGGCCGGGCCGCAATTTGAGGGAGAGAGAGAACAGATCTAAGGTAGAACCCATGGGCCCCTAGTATTGGCCCTTAACCCTGGGACCCTAATGTACCTACTATATATCCTATATATACCCTTAAGGGGCCCTAGAATCCCCTAAGGGCCCATGTTGGGGGCCCATGGGTTCTACCTTAGAACAGAGCATGCAGAGCCTGGTATTATGAGTCGTTACTGCTGGCCGTTTCAGACGGTTTAGGGTTTAGGGTTTAGGGTTTATCGACAGCGCAGAGCCGGCAACAGCCGCAGACACCTGGGCGGCCAGGAGCTGCTGCGCGACAACTTGTACGAGTTTTCCAAGTACAACCGCGAGGCTTCCCCCCCCTCACATCTGGGTGTTTAGGGGAGTGTAGGGTTGTGGGGTTCTTATTGATGGTGACATCGGTGAAAGTGAGGATGACGAAGAGGAGGACTATGATCAGTGGTCATGTTCGAGATGGCGACGATGATGGTGGTGATGCCGATGATCATGTCGGTCAGCAATCAGTACAATCAACAAATCGACATGGTAGAGTACATGCTATTTGCACGGGACGAGTAGCTTCTGGCTCCGATCAGCTGCAACCCTGCAACGAGCAGCACATGACACGCTTTCGACTCGTAAACCCTAAACCCTACACCCTAAACCCTAATTTCGTGGCCGAAACGGCCAGAGCGGTGACTGCGATCCTTGAAAAAGAGACTGAGGCCTGTGAGGAGCCGTACTTCACGCTCGGGCGGCTGCAGAGGACGCGGAAGTCTGTAACTTCCTTTCTCGTTGCAGGGTCGGTGGTTCAGGGCTTTGTGTTCTTGAAGTCCTATAATATAGGACCCTTAATAATTAGAATAGGGTCTGGGGGGCCCATTATACTATACTTATAATAAGGAACGTCCAAATAGTACGTAGAGGTCATTATTTAGGCCCCTATATATCCGGGCCTGGTTCGGCGTGGGTGTTCTGAAGTGGATACCACAAGAAATGCCCACACCTGGTGCCTCTGGTCTTTCCACTAGCTGGCAGTCCGACATCTGTGGGGTTGGTAGCTACTGTGGATGATATAAATCCTGCATTACCTTAAGGACCCTAAACTATGGGAATTACGGCGTCTGACTTATTATGGGTAGTGCAGGATGTATATCATCAACCGTACTAATCTCATGCTGCTGATGCCCCTATGCCCTATGCCCGAAGAGGTCCTTGGGTCCGGAATGAAGCGGGGATCTTTGCTACAAGGATCCCCCAAGTTGGCACGCCATCCCCCCTTAGGGTTTAGGCTTTAGGGTTTAGGGTTTCCCAAAAAAAACTTGCACTCGCAAGCTGCAAACTAGCAAAAAGTATGAAAGATACATAAAAAGGCCTGCAGGTCTGTCCCTAAACCCTCAACCCTCTGGTAGAAGAAGCCTACTAAAGCCTAAACCCTGAACTTCCTGAATCCTGTGGTAGAAGACTCGATTCCTCGAGAGCTCTCCTTGCAGAATCTCCAAGCAGATCCTCGTGGCCTTGGAGTGCTCCCGACTGGCGCTCTGAGTTGGGGGGGTGGGGGCATAGGGTTCAGGGTTCAGGGTTCAGGGTTCAGGGTTTAGGGTTTAGGGTTTAGGGTTCAGGGTTCAGGGTTCAGGGTTTAGGGTTTAGGTTCAGGAACAAGTTTAGGGCCTCTAGAGGTTTAGGGACAGGCTCTACCTTGGGGGGGTGGGGGCATACGGTTTAGGGTAAAGTTGGGAGCCTCTAGGGGTTTGGGGAGGTCAGAATGTACTACACTGCTTTACAAGGGTGGGGGGAAATACAGAATCTATACAATCTCCTGATCGGGGTTTTGTAGGGTTTTTGCAGAAAAGGCTTTTTGAGAATCGCTTCCATATGGGATTGTAAGAGTTCTATGCCTGTTTGCTATGGATGGGGGATGTTTGGGGTTTGGGGTTTCAGGGTTTTGGTTGAGAGGGTTTGTGCTTTTGGCGAGGGCTCGGGATTTGGGTATCCCGGGTTTGGACCGAAAGGGTTCACACACGTTGCAAGGTTGTGAGGCTAATAGCGGGGCCTTAATCAGAATCGGGTTTTGGGGGCCCCTTCTTAAACTATAGCATCATAGACCCCCAAACCCTATTCTAATGATTAAGGCCCCTATATTAGCTAGGGCAGCTAGGGCTGCGGGTTTAGGGTTTAGGGGGTTTAGGGGGTTTAGGGGTTTAGGGTTTAGAGGTTTAGGGGTTTGAGGGGGTTTAGGGTTTCGGTTTTCCTTACACCCTCATTGTACAGAGGTACATCCACCAGCTCTATTTGATCCACGCGGATCTGAAGCCCGAGAACATTCTCATCAAGAGCTACTCCCGCTGCGAGGCGCCTTTGCCCACTAATCTAGTAATATAGGGGCTTTAATAATTACCTATGCTATTTTGGGGTTCCTTACATTGTAATTATAGTATCATAAACCGCAAAACCCTGTTCCAATAAATTAAGGCCCTTATTTTAGCCCTAAAATCCCGAAACTCTAAATAACAAATCTCTAGGTCTCAAAGCCCCTTTAGGCAGCTCGTGGGTGTCTTCATTTCACTGCGCTGAAGCATTGTAGCAGCCCTCGTCAGCTCATGCGCCCGGAGCAGTTTCAGACGTGAACCTCATCTATCCCAGAATCTTGAATCTCCAGCTCCCCTCTCTAACCCCTACTTAAAGAGTCATGGGACTTAGTAACTCAGGTTATTATTAGAGGTACTTATAACCATACTTACTAAGTCCCATGATCCTCCAAGTACTAACCGACCCACTCTCACCCCTAAACCCTAGACCCTAAACCCTAAACCCCTACGAAGGAACACCGACAGAAAAAATAGCCCAAGGTAAAGGTCATCGATTTCGGCTCTTCGTGCTTCGTGGACGACTCGTTCCTGGGGCCGCATTGGGAGGAAAGCCAAGCCTACGGCTCTTAGAGCGCAGCGAGCTTCTGATTCGGGTTTAGGGTTTAGGGTTGAGGGTTTCCGAGGGGCCTTTCCATAAGTAGTAGGTATTGTACTGGGTTTAGGGTTTAGGGGCCTTTCCACAAGTAGTAGGTACACCATAACACCGGCTAGCGAACCCTAAGCCCACAAAGACAGCAGCGTGTCCGCTTGTCTTCTGGGTCCTTCGGCTGCGAGGTTGACAAACTACGTGCAGTCACGCTCGTACAGGCCCGGAAGTTTGCTTGGAATGTCGGTTAGCCCAGCTAATGAGAACAGTCATGGAATATTAACAACAACATATATATATATATATATATATATGTATATCAATAGTGCCGATGGACATAAAATCGTGACAACAACAACCGTAATAGCGATCGAAACATAGATGGATTGGTGCATGGACGGATAGATCGATGGATCGCTAGATCGATGAGTCCATACGTAGATGAAAAACATGTATGCATGCAAGTATGAACATGAGAGCGTGAATTTGAACATTATTGCGATTATGGACATGAGCATGAAGGCATACACATATGTATGTTTGTAAACATGCATGCATGCATGCATACACACATATGTACTCACTCACTCACGCGCTGCAAAGTCCTGTCTCTGCGAGCGAAAATGAGGACGGGACATAAGCCCCGGCACGCCGCGCTCATGCATTGCATCATCCCCGGAGGCACCGAGGCTCTGTTGGCCCCCGGTGCGAACACCCTGGAAAGAAGCGAGGCCAACATCAGTGATCCATCTTGACATAGAAAAAGAGATAGGAATCGCAACTATAATCACTGAGCTCAGAAACACCGCATTTCCTCGCTGCTATGCCGTCATCAAGGACTTTAAACACTGTGTCCTCCGGCATAAGAGCCACATAATGGCCACAGTCAGGCACATCTCCAAGATGCACCGTAGCGGAACTAAGAACATATCGACATGGAATGGTCTCAAGGCCCGCAGCAACAAACACAGGAAACCCAATCTCCAAATCAGGATGAATCCTATGCCTAAGCTTCTGCATGGCCGCCGTTTCCATATCAAAGTCAAAACGAGCAGCTTGTAGTACCAGGACTTGTGGGGGGAGGACGGCAGCATGAACAGCTTCTTGAAGGCTCCATCTGTCAACAAGGTCCTGAACACTGGTATGCCCACACCCGCCAAACCTAAGTATGAGCGGAGCCGAACAACCAGCATCAAGTTGGGCTATGCAATCCTCCTGCTGCTGCCTGGACTCCCATCCTACTCCTAATGATTCCAGCATTGTCGGACACTTTGTGATCATGTACTGGAGAAACTCTGCTGCGTCACGCTGCTCCCCGGGGGCACCCCAATCATGAAAGAGAGTAGGCCAAAAGGGGTTTTGCCACAGATAGCAAATGCCTTTTGATTGAAGGATGCCCTTTGCAACTGACGCCAGAGTTGGCGGGAACACTTGGCTCAAACTTCCACTCCGCAAGGTGGCCGCAGTGAGGCACTTGAAGAGCGCATTGCTAGAGCAACGATTACTCTTATTCCCCAGCCCCAGACGAAGACTCCTCAGGCCGCTCAATGTCAAGAGCTGTAGTCGTTCATCATCGTCGCGATGCGCTGCGCCAGGGCCGATCTCTGGAGCTTGTCTTGGTGCATGTAGATCCCCGAGGCAATCCAGGCTGCCGATCGACACATGGACTGTAGGATTGACCACGTCTGTTGGGCAGCCTCCACCCGAAGTCCTACATCTAACAACATCGGCAGCACATCCGAGTTGTAGTCCTGGGCCATCGGGCGAGTGGCATGGAATCTGTTGATCACCAAGGGGGCCTTCGCAAGGATCACCAACTCGGCCAGGTTCTGTGTCACCTCCGCTGGGGTGAGCGCCTTGCCCTCCAGGTCGACAACGTGGGTCTTGGCCTCGTTGTCCCACTTTCCGAGATCCAACCCACCTTGGCCGCAGCCTTGCGCGACTCCTCCGTGGCCATGAGCTGCTCGAAGCGAGCCATCACCGATGTCAGCATCGCCTGCATCAGCACCACCCTCATGGGTGACTCCAGCTTCTGGGGCTCCTTCTCCTTGGCAGCCTTCCAAGTCACTCCTGTGTGGTAGAGACTCACCGCCAAACTGCCTTTCACATCCGTTCGAAGAAAGAAAACGAAAGCAGTGTCCAGTCTGGCAATCATCATCTGATTGTCGTGGCGGAGAAGAAGAGCCGTGATCATGTCCACGCGGGTCCTCAGCACCTGCAACTCCTTGGCCATGCTCTGCTGAGACTGCTCGGTCTGGCGTCCCTCCTTGCGAGCCTGCTGCTGCCCCCGGCCTTGCCCTTTCCAAGAACCCCCGAAGCGTGACGGGCCTTGCTGGGAGCGGCCTTTTCCGCTTCCTTCCTGGCCCTGGCCGTTGGCTCCCGGCTTCTGCCACTTGGCTGGCCTCTCGCTTCCCTGCTGATCTCGTGGGGAGTGTACCGGTTCCTCCGGTGGGTCCACTTCCATTTGCAGACTGGCTGGGATGCCGATGAGGCCCTTGGGCGCGAGGATCTCCATGAGCCTGAGCTCTTCCGTCGCCGCTGCCAGCTGGTTCCTTGTCGATCGTGACGTGAGCGAGTCTGGCGCCGGCGACATCCTTACCAAAGGGCAGTGGAGGTCCTCTAGCAATCCTGGCGTACAAGTAGGCCCCGCTGAACAGAGCAACACACGAGCGAAGATGAGCATCTCGCCTCTGGAAACTTTCTCCACAGTACTGACATGGGTTGCACACTCCAATGTTACTGGCCTTAATGAAGTCCACACACTTTTCAAGAAGGGGCTTCTGCTCCGGATGTTTAGCAAGCATGTGGCGCTTCACGTGCTGAGGCTTGGCAGGCCAGTGATTGCACTCAACACAATGGCGAAGCCGCTTACGAACAATGGGATGCGAAGCCAACTCAAGCCAGCTGCAGTTGCCAGAGAAGTCAAGTAACTCGGCATTATCAACCAAGGCCTCAGAAAGGTGAACCAACGCCAGGCCCGGTTTTGGCTGGCCGTAAATGGCTCGTAGAATTTCGCAGCTCTGCGAGTTGACATGGTAGTGAAAGTTCGGCCAATTGTGGAACTTGCGATCACAGTGTTTACACCACGGCATGCCTTCTTTGGAGTGCTCCATGTTCGATCCACTGTTCTGGGCTTTAGCTTCCACATGTCTCGCCTGCTGCTGGGGTTTCTCAAGATGCATGAGGAAATGATGTCGTCGGAGCGCCGGCTGGGTATCAAAGACTTGCCCACACTCAGTGCATTCAAATGTTTCGTGTAATATCTTATGCACTGGAACCAGACGGGCTCGCTGTGACATGGAGACCCCATGCAAGCCCTCACTCCGGAGGGCAGCCAGGCATTGGCTGTCAATCAGAGCTCGCCACTGAAGCTGCGCCTCCGTTGGTTGAAGAATGGGACCGAGCTGTGCATCCATGTGATTTCGTCTGCGGACTGAGTTCAGCACAGCCTGAGCCGGGTGAGTGATACCCATCCTCCGCATGAAGGCATCATTGGTCTCCCTGGTGTACATACTGTGGGACTTGGCGACTGTTCTGGCCTGTTGAACCAGAAGCGAGGTCACCGCCTTCATCTCTGCCTCAGGCAGTCCGATGCTGTCGAGACCATGTAGAAGACAAGCAGGAACGCACGCCTTCCAGAGTTGCATCCGTAGCCCCAACGGCACCGCCTGGCAGCGAAGGACCGATTTGAGGCGTGCAAATTGCCCCTTGGCTAAGATACGATGTTGGGCAGTGGCCTGCTCCATCTTGCGATACGTGATGACCGCTCCCAGATACACATGCTGGGTGACGATTTTCAGGTCCATGGACTTGCCAGCCGGGGGGCTGGCTTGAGGAAGCGTGCGGTGCGCCGAAGTTCTGCTCCTGGAAGCCCTTCCTGCATGTCCGCATCCTCCTGGTGAGCATCCGCGGTGAAGCGAGTGCGCTTGTGATCCGGGCTCTTCCCTGGGCTCTTCGATGTGCCAGTCATAGCTGAAGGACTAGCTTGCGGCTCTCGACTTGAAAAGAAAACTGCGGTAGGCCCGCACATGCCTACAGCATGTGTGGCCTTGACGTGGGGCG